GCGGGCTCAGGCAATCCACTCACCTCAGCCTCCCAAAGGCATGGGATTACAGGCTGAGCCACCGAGCCCAGCTGCAAACTCTCTTTTAACACAGAATCTTTAAGGTCGAGAGGATTCCTTCCCATCTTAGAAACACAAGATGAAAATACTTACAGATCCTGGAAGATACACAGCACACCCAGAGCCTCCCCCCAACCCACACAGAGAAATGTGGGGGACGGACCTATGGGCCAACACCTTTATTGTTTTCAAGGCATTATCCAAACAGATATCCCCAGAGGGGTTTAACTGATGGGTTTAAAGCAAGCAGGCCTAAGTTCCAGGAACTCATGCTGTGCTGGAGAAAGGGTCCCTGCAGCATCCACACAGCCCATGTGGGTGGTGGGGGTCAGAGGGGCTGGCATGCAGGCTGTATGCAGCTGCCCCATAGGGAGGTGGTCCCAGGAAGTGGTTGCATAAGGGTGACCACATTGAGGAACTGGGAGGGACAGAACTGGAAACTGTGCCGAGGGGCCTGAGCTCTGCTTTTGGGGTGAGAAAGCCCAGTTTCTATTCAAATATTGGCCGAGGTGACCTAAAATGGTGAGAACTCACTACAAACTCATGGCCAACTGCATCTGACTCATTCCTGCACAAAGCTGATACGAGACATGTGTCATCACAGCCTCCTCGTGTTGGGACCACCAAAAGCTCTTCAGCACTGTGCAAGGAGGCCATTTGAAACGGCAAAGTCCCTCCCAAAATGCACAGAGAGGGAAAGGATAGCATTGAACAGACTGTGGAAAGGACACCTGTTTATAGTCCAAGGGCAGAAACAAGGAGGCAGAATGCTGTCTGGCTCTACCCTCAGCTGGGAATGTGTGTTGGAACTGAAGTTACCTCCATGTTGTGTCTGTAAATGACCACAGAAGCACTGTGAGAATTGGTTTGGGGTCATTTTAGCAGTAGGAGAGAATTCACAAACACACAATCTGTGAATAATGAGGATGGATTGTGCATAGACACATACATATATACACGGATATATGTATAATACACACAAATATACATATACAAAGGGGACCCAACAAAACCCGGAATTATTGTTTGGAGGGCAGTCCCTTGTAGTACAAGTTTCCCCCGCTAGGGAAGCATTCTAGGAGCCCACTGGCATCAGTGTATCAGCCAGTACTGTTGTGAGAGGCTGTGTTCAGCTTCAGTAAATTTTTTTTTGAGTCTGAGTCTCACTCTGTACCCAAGGCTGGAGGGCAGTGACATGCTCACAGTCACTGTATCCTCGACCTGCCAGGCTCCGGCGATCCTTCCGCCTCAGCCTTCCAAGTAGCTGGAACTACAGGCATGCGCCACCACACCCTGCTAATTTTTTGATTTATTGTAGAGGTGAGGTCTCGCCAAGTTGCCCAGGCTGACCTTGAACCCCTGGACTCAGGCAATTCTCTTGACTCGGTCTCCCAGAGTGCTAGGATTACAGGCTTAATCCACCGCACCTGGTCTTCACTGAGTTTTTTGGGAAATTCTTTCAACACATCTGCCCATTTCACGATGGGTGACTCACAAGCACACCTGCCCACACCACGCTGAGTGTCGAGCAGTTTTTGCTCGACACCCTCCCTTTTCACCTGTTCTCACCCCAAGTGACTTTTTTGTTTGTTATCCCAGATGAAAAAGTCCTCAAAGGAAAATGTTTTGTCGATGCTGAAGAAGTGAAAGAATAAACAGCAGAAGCACTAAAAAGCACCAAAATTGGTGAGTTCAAAAACTGTTTTGAGCAGTGGAAAAAACATCTCGACAGGTGCATTGCATCAAATGGAGAGTACTTGGAAACTGACTCAAATTTAAACGTGTAAGAATAAATAGGCTGGGTGCAGTGGCTCACGTCTATAATCCCAGCACTTTGGGAGGCCGAGGTAAGAGGACTGCCTGAGCCCATGGGCTCGAGACCAGTTTAAGCAACATAGCAAGACGTCACCTCTACAATAAATCAAAAAATTATTGGGCATGGTGGCGCGCACCTGTGGTTCCAGCTACCTGGAAGACTGAGGTGGAAGGATTGCCTAAGCCCAGGAGGCCAAGGCTGCGGTGGCCGTGAGTATGCCACTTCCCTCTAACCTGGGCGACAGAGTGAGACTCTGATTTAAAAAAAAAAAAAAGAAAGAAAAAGGAAAAGAAAAAAGAATACACAATATTTTATAAATCCGAGTTTTTCTGGTCCCCCCTTGTACATATAAAACATACGTATACATGTAACACACATACATGCACATATACACACAACATGCCCCTCCTGGACCACTCAGGAAAAGTGGAAATTCACCCACTGCCTTTGCTCCACCCTCAGAGCTCCCCGGCTTCTTCTCTGGCCTGGACCACCAGGCTGGCTCCCACCGCCCACCCAATCACTGGGCGCTGTCTTTGACTTCACCACCCCCAGCCCAGAGGTTCCCAAATCCCACCCTCCTGCTCCCCAACTCTCTGCCCTATGGCTCTGGGCCCACCTCAGGCCTCATCCTCTCTCCCTGAACCCTGGCTTCTCTCCTGTGTGCCTGACACAGCCCGAGAGGGTCTTCTATACCCAGAGCTGACCCTGCCCCTCCCTGCTCAGAGCCCTGTTTCACGTAGCTCCCCAGCACCCTGGGGATAAAGTCCAGGCACAGGGGGTCACCGCCCACCTCTCTGGGTTTATCTCCCCGACTTCGTCCTCCTCCCGCTCCAGCTACCCCTGTCTCTGCACACACCACTCCTGCATCCTGGGATGAACTTCCCATCTTGACACCTGACCTCCTGGCACGTGGTTGTTTCTCCCTTCATGACACAGTGTCAGCTGGGCTCGGTGGCTCAGCCTGTAATCCCACGCCTTTGGGAGGCTGAGG